GCTCTATCAAACCATATGGGGAGGCTTAAAAAATGGTAATAATAAACGTTTACAAAGCAATGTATTACTTTTGAAAATTACGCAATATAAATTTATATGAAGAGTTTAGATGCAAAAAACTCTAAATGCCATCTAAAAAATTTCCTCTAAAATGAGCATTTTTATCAGGCTCCTGTTTATGTTCATTATTATCACTTTTATGGCAAAGAATAAGTCATTTTCCTGTTATTTAAAGTGAAATATCTCAACATAAACAAAGGAGGTTTAGAAAAAATTTCATTTTCTATGGAAATTTCAGAAAGTGATACATTTTTAGAAATTATTAAAAGATTGGTGTCTGTGATGCAGCAAGTCCAGTTGCGTACAGTGGACTTATAATTTATATAAAATTTACTTTAATGTTTTAAATGGCTAAATAGTGGTCATAAAAAAATGTTTTCTCAATTCAAATGATATTTCATACGTAACGACATAACAAACAGATGAATTCAGACACCACCTGAAATGGCTGCTCCCCTAAATAGTCCACTTTTTAAGGGTATAAGGTTGATTTCAGATAAAGTGCTTGTTATATACTTTGTTGAGTCTTAGGTGATTGAATCACTGAAAACCAGGACCTTTGGTTTTATAATCCAGGTGTTCATTATTACAAGAGTCAATTGTTAAGTCTAATCTTTTTCCTTTACAAAGTAATTGGTGTTTATTTCAATGTAACCTTTCTAAAAACTGAATATTTATTTTAAAAAGTTCTTAATATTACAGAAAATTCTAACGAAAACTACTTGTGCATACTGTACACAGACAATCTAATTAAATGCTGACTAAGAGAAGTCAGTTAGAATTAAAAATACAGGACAAACAGCATACCCTGGGCTTTAATTCACATGAAAATAAAGCAGCCAGATGTTCAAATAGCTGCTGGGTAGTTTTACTGATGGAGATCTCCTAACTAACAACCTGCTAATTAACACCCAGAGCGCCAACGAGAAAACAAGGCCTCTCACCTTGCTCTGGTACATCACATACTGTAGGGCAAGTACAAGGGAGGATATTAGAAATAGAGAAGATGTATAATTAATCTGCCTGCCGGCACAACAGTCAAACAAATTCCAGCAACGGGGAACACAGGCAGGGTAATGGAGTTTGAACGAAGCACCGTTTATCCATAGGGAAGGAAATGAATGGGCTGCTGCAATGGGATCAAACATGCCTGGAGTAATGTTCTTCAGAAAAGGCACTTTGCTTCAGGAGGAGACCAAGGTAAATTCCACACAAAATGCAAAGAGCTTGGCGCAAATCTAAAGTTAGAGGTTAGTTATCAGTGAACTTCAGGAAAAAAATAACTGTTGTCCTCCATTTGGAATTGATTGTCCAGTATGGCATGTAATATTGGTTCTAAGCCTTCTGGGATATTCTGCTTTTTCAAATCATTTCATAGTCCATCAGACCACAGAAAAAAATGGGAGCAAGTCTGTCAGGCTCAATGGAAGCTTGCCCTCACTCAGAGATGGGTTATTATAATGATTTTCCTAATGTTCGCTTTGTGAAATAGAAGAGGGCTGTGGAACACATGATGAATGGGTCGTGTGTAAGCTCAAAGTGAATTCCTGTGTGCAAACAGCAGCTTCGGTGACGACAGAATTATGTTGATAGACATCAGCAGTCAACAAGAGATTGATATCAAATGTAAAGTGATTCTGTTATGCATTTATATTTTCAACTTCCTTGGTTGTGGAATGTTGCTATTTGTGAGTTAAAGCCTGTGACACACCAAGCCAACATCCAAGAACTAGTGGTGATGAAAACCTAGTGTGTTGTCGGATGCGTTTTGAACTGACTGAACAAAAAAAAAATTGTGTGAGCAACAACAAACAGAAAACAAGACTCTAAAAACATGCTGGGACAACATGAAGGAACTAAGTTAAAGGATTTGTTTTTACGAATTTAAGTGGATTGAACATAAAACAATTAAGTTTTCCCCAAAAAAACAAAAAAAAAACTCTTTTATAAAACTCGAATTGTGCAGTTACAGCTTATTTTAAATAAGTAGCTTGAACAAACAGCAAAGGTCATTTTTGAAATAAAGAACAAATGTTCTGAGCTTGCTTGAGATCATATATCTTTCAATATCTTATATTAAATATGTAAGATAATCTATGTCTTTTGCAAATTTTTAATAAATGCTTTTTGTGTTGCCTCTTGAATTGCATGTTTGCTTAATTTCATTACTTCCGTTTTTGTTCTGAAGTACATCCAATCAGATCGCTCTCTCCTTCACCAACGACCAACACGGATTCTACATGCTGAATCGGGCAAACTCCTTCTGACATGATGTGAGACGACATGTGGAACACACCAAACAAACTAAGCTGATAGACGCTCAACTGATGGCCTGACGCTGCACAACAGCAAACCGTTGGCTTGGCATGTCCCAGCTTTACAATGGTCAACAATATCCACTAAAAAGGAAGTCATTTTTTATTACAGCTAGAAGTGCTTCTGTAATTCCTTAATTGCCTGTTTTTCTGCCTTTTCTTATTAAAAAATGCACATGACAATAACCAAAACTGAAAAAATTCATGCGCCAAGGCATAACTGAAGGGATCCCATGTCCAAAAGATAATGATGCACAGATTTAACATATTGATACAAATTTCTTCCACAACAGTTTACATTCAAAGACAGCCAACTACAGTATATGTGAACTTTTCTGTGTTATTGACAAAACATGGTGTGTATTTGATAGCCGATGTAAAACCTTAGTGTTTAATGTGCACATAACGCAACATCTGCCTCAGGAGTTTAAGTTTGTTGTTGCTGAGGTAACGAAAGAATGAGTGAAAAAAGCCATGTTATCTAAAAATGGCCATTTGCAGCATGATATAATAAATAATCCACGAGGTACTCTGAGCTGAAACTACACAGAGACATTTTAGGGACACCTGAGACTTATTATATCTTGCAGAAATAGCATTAAAGAAACCCTTTAAGAAATAAGTCACAAGAGGCAAAGGAATATAGTGCTTTATCACAATTAAAGCATGCTGCCACACAACTGTAAATGAGTTGCTGTCAGCAATGTGATTAAAAACAACATTTCATGAATGTAATTTAATGTAAATGTATTGATTAAATATTATAGTATATACTGCAGTATTTACATAATTATTGACAAGTAGTTTATTAACTTAACTGTAGGCTATTTAACGTTACATCCAATATAAAGGTCCTCTATAAAATATAATTTACTGTCACAGGTTATGTTTGCATACATCAGCTATTATTTTTTTCATATAGTACATCAGCTATTTCCTCAACAGACGCTTTGAACATGGCACCCTCAATCAAAGTATACAATCGAAAATATCAGTTTTAATATAATCCCCTTTGAAGTAAATTAAATATCTCTGGTCTGATGGCTTTTTCTCTCCATGAAAATAATGTAAACAGCAACAGCAGCCAAAAGTGATGTCTGGGGGCCCTTTGCACAATATTTGCTACAAGTTTAATTAAACCATCAAATTATGACAAACACATTGGGGATTAGTCTTAACTGGGTTAAGGTGTTTCTATTGCTTAATCACAGAATATAGATTGAATTTTACTATGCAAAGAATTTGTGAAAAGGGAAATAAAGAGCGCAAAAAGTCAACACCCTAATCATACTGTGGGCACAATCATACACCCACCGCAATAAGTTTCAAGAAGTGTTCTGCGTGATTTGTTGCTGTTTTCAGACCAGCACAACCCTAATTTTCACATTTTGTGCCACGCTGTTTAAATAGCAAATCCATTTGTGCCACTTTGTGGACTCCGATAGACTTTGTGGTCCACAAAGGACCACATTGCTATTTTGAGGAACAGAATAGACTGCATCATTGACTACAAGCAGTTTTGAAGAAGTATGCATCACCATATGGTGCATAAGAATAGGACGTGTGTTTGAATATAACTCAAACAACTTCATTATTATTGTTATATTAGTTAGCTGGAAATTAGAACTAAATTTAGAAATAGTTTTGAAATAAATCTTTTCAGTTAACAAACAAAATTAAACATGTAGGCTAATGGATGTATTCAGTGGAGAGAATTTCCACTTTTTCCTTTTCCATGAAAGTAAAGGAGTAAAGTAAAAAGTAAAAAATAAAAGTAAAGAGATAAAGAAAAAGTAAAGAGGCCGAATGGAGGAGGCTCATTTTTTATCCTCATGCTGATGGTCTGTTTGACTGTTTTCTCGCTAGCGAAGTGTTCATTTTTTTCCACTTACAAAGTCCGCCATGTAAATACCAAATGTGCCATAGGGTGACGCAACTGACTCTTAAAGGGAACGAGATATGAGACTCTGATTGGTTTAATGCATGTTATGCTCAAAACAACCATAATTCATTAAGAGAATAAGCACAACCCTGTTAGACTATGCGCCGCGGCACAAACTATATTTTTCTGCCCTTAAAATAGCAAAAGTGGATTCAGAGATCCCCTTAATGCTTTTGCGCCATGCACTTTAGACTTTGCACCTAGATCGTTAAAATAAAGCCCCGTTTCATGGTATTCTGTTGTACTTGACTAGCATGTTTCCTTGTGCTATCAAAATGGAAACCATTAAAACATTTAAATACAACTATATAATTAGAAAATCTGTATTAAGATAGAAAAAATATGTTTGAATAAAGAGCAAAGGCCAGACATCACTTTTAACCAATAGTGTATTAGAAACTAAGTATGGGAATGCAATGCTATTAGTTAACAAATGTATATTTAGTTGATTCCTTTACGGGTTTGTTAGAAAGCACAGCTAGTGATCAGTGTGGTCAGAGGAGGGCAGAGTGAAGCGCCAAACGACTGGCACATTAATCAGTTCTCCTTGACAGCTGCCCACACACCAACACCGATAATAAGCCTCATGACACAGACTTCCTGAGGGGCGAAGCCAATGAAGGTGAGCCTACACACAGGAACTGAGTAGCATTATGAACTGCAGATTATCATAACGCTCTTACCTTGAAGGCATACTTGCGGCTGATGTGATCCTCGGGTCCCACAGGAGAAATTACATAGCTGGGCAGAGGTATACTGCCCAAAACAGTCTCCTCTCGACTATCTGTGAATAAAGGACAGATGTTATAAGAAAAAGCCTGAAAATGGTTAGTTACAGATGAAAAATGATGCAATTAATTCATTCTGAAACAGAAATAAATGGCAGTAAGCAAGTGATATTCCAATTTTTCCAATGAAATTATATAAAAAATAATGCATTACTTAACATAAACAGTGTTAAAAACAAAACTGTTTAATGCTATTTAGTATATAAATCTGCTATTATTTATTTATTATAGGCACTCATAATAATGTGTTACATAAACGGAGTGATTTACTTATGAAAAAAGTGATTATGAGGCAATAAAATTAGAGACCTGTTTTAGATAATTACAGCTAATTTAAGTAGAATCCAATAACTCACCTTTATAATAAAACAAGCAGTAATCAGACAACACAAACCATTTCCTCTTCCACAGTCTCATGCCTGAGCTGTCCTAAGGGTGGATGAAGTATAACATTTCAATTCACCGTATTTATCAGTTTCAACTGTATGCATAATCTAATAAACTACATTATAAGATAACAAGGTACATTTAGTAGCAAATGTTTTGTTACGCTAATCATCAACTTTAAATGACCCATTCATAATTATTTAAAAACAGTCAGGGCAGTATCTGTTATTACAAACCAATATACAGTATGCTGCATTTAAATGAATTCCTCCTTTATACAGAATATGTGTTTAATATATGTTAAATAAAACTATCAATCAGTTTACTGTGACTGTGGGTCTTAGTTTGTCATAAGGCCTGCTGTATGTAAGATGTAATCTAACATCTGAGCACCATTTAGTTTAGATCAAAATCAAACTCTGTAATCTACTTTTGAGACTCGCACCTGTTTGTAGAGCCATCCTCTCACCACCACCGGGACATTGGGGTTCCTTTTGATGGAATGGTCACGCTTGCCAAAGCAATGCACCTTCCCACTGGGTTTCAGATTCTGTGGTATTAAAAAAAAAGACATCCACTTGTTTCGTTTGTTCATTTTGGGGCCACTTTACCAAGTCTATCAAGTTTGAGCTTTAGCAATGTTCACAGTAACCTAGTGTGCTGCTTTTATTAATCCTGATCGGTAGTTGAGCTGAAGTTTAATTGAGATTAAAAGTTTAAATCTCAATTGGTCATTTGATATCACATTCTCAAAGAACATTTACAATAAGTTATATATGTATTATTACAAAACAGAAAATGATAACTTCCTCAAATGTATACTCTATACTGGGGCACAGTTCATGATTTTGCCAAATATGATGTGATCCTGGATTAACATCTACTTTTTGTTGATCTTGGAACATCATTTTTGTTCGAAAATGTAATCCATCCCTATACCCTACCCCTGAACCCAACAATAACTGTAAATTATTCCCAAAATCAGAGGGAAATAATAGTTGGATAACAGCCATATAGAAGTTCATAAACCTAAACGTAAGTCTAAACTTAAGGTAAACTTATCCCTTAATTCTGATTGGCTGACTGGAATGTTGTTCCAGGATCAACACAGATGTTAATAAACATGTCCAACTTGGTCAAATCAGGTTGGCGGCCCTGGATGTAAATTTCAAACCACTTTTACTTATTTACCCATTTACAAAACATAATGTGATCAGATGGTTAATATGTAGGGTTAGACAGAATCTGCGGTCATTTTTTCCAATTTCTGCACAAAACTTTGTAAAAAAAATCTGCAGATTTATGTGGAATGAATTTTAGAGTATGGTAATTTAACACACAAAGAAAAAAAAAACTCTTTAACTTTTATTTAAGATTTAAAATGCAAAACTAAGTAGAACCACTTGTTTGATGAACAAATGAAGTACCTTATACAAAACATCTAGTAAAATAATACTTCACAATCTTCACTGTACATAAATCATATAAAATGGCATATGATTCAATAATGAGCAAAAAATGTGTGGTTTTTTGCAGGCGCAGATTCTGTGTGGATCTATCTCTCAACCAAAAAGAAGAATTCAAACTCAAACAGGTTGGGAACAAGCGTAACTCATGACAAAATTTTTTCACATTTAATTAATTAATTAATATATATACATTCATTCATTCATTCATTTTGTTTTCGGCTTAGTCCCTTTATTAACTTATTTATTAACTTATCCAGCATGTTTTTATGCAGCAGATGCCCTTCCAGCTGCAACCCATCTCTGGGAATATATTTATTATTTTTATATAATAAATATAATTTATATATATAATAATTTATATATATAAATTTTGGGGGGGTGGGGGGGGTAACTATTCTTTCAAAAAGAACAAATCCAGAACATTGACTGATGCCCACCAAAAGCCTGTTAATTCCCAGCGAGGGACCTTTGGCGCAGATCGATTGGTTTGCGAAAGCTCATATGATGCTGACACAGTGCTGTCATTGACAGGCTAGTATCAGACACAGTAGCCGATGTGTGTCAAGGCAGGCCATTAAAGCTTCAAAGTGTCAAAATCACACTCTGATAGTGGGAATTGTCTGAGTCTCCGCATTCCCATTTCCAGAGGAGATCTAAAGAATAAGAGACCCATTGGGGCTGTTACTAAGCTAACAAGAGACCATTGAGTCAAGAACTGCCTGAAGATAAGAATGATGATGAAGTTTAGCCCTCACAAAAAGATGCCGTTTGTGCATGCAAATTGGTTTTATGGTAAACATGGTTACACATAATAATGATTACATTGAATTACATTTACAACATTATTATTAATATACTGTACTATTTAAAATCTGCAGCAACTGTGTGATGCGGCGACGCAGTGGCGCAGCAGGTAGTGTTGTCGCCTCACAGCAAGAAGGTGGCTGGGTTGCTGGTTCGAGCCTCGGCTAGGTCAGTTGGCGTTTCTGTGTGGAGTTTGCATGTTCTCCCTCCGTTCGCGTAGGTTTCCTCCGGGTACTCCGGTTTCCCCCACAGTCCAAAGACATGCGGTACAGGTGAATTGGGTAGGCTAAATTGTCCATAGTGTACGAGTGTGTGTGTTAATGAGTGTGTGTGAATGTTTCCCAGAGATGGATTGCGGCTGAAAGGGCATCCGCTGCGTAAAAACGTGCTGGATAAGTTGGCGGTTCATTCCGCTGTGGCGAACCTGGATTTATAAAGGGACTAATCTGAAAAGAAAATGAATGAATGAACTGTGCTATCATGTCAGTGCAAAATCTTATTTCCAGCACCTTTTCAAATCTACACAGCTCTGAAAGTAAAATAGGCTCCAACCCAGTACCAGAAAGATGTACCTAATAAAGTGGCCAGTGAAAGTGTATATGGAACGCTTATGCACCTGAAACTGTGCCACACACACTCAGATTTAATTAGCAGGAAATAGCGCGAGGCGTTGTGGAAATTTCTCAATCCCCTGCAGATGTTCTATGCAGCATTACCTCATGACCTCTGCACAATGCAGTCGACCCGCACAGAAGATTAAGTCCGGCTTCTCTGCTGCTAGAAAAATCAGTAACCTATTACACCTTCTGCTGGGGGTCATTTATCAAAAGTGGAGGAATATAGCAAAATGTATGAGGCCAATTTACTCTCTCCCATTACATATAAAAACATTATCAGTTTTCAATAAGATTTAATATGAGATACACACACACATTTATAAAGACTTGGAATGAAGGGCTTCTCTAGACAATTAGCAAGCTTGGCACCTTCAGGCACTAGAGGGGCTCCGCATGAACATTTGCCGTTTTTGAGAATCAGCACCATGACAAGACACATTAAAGCAGCCTCAGATCAGCAGTGAATGAGGGTTGGCTTCTCACCCTGGATCCTGAGGTGGCGTCCGCAGGGGATGAGGAAATGGCCACAGAGGACTCGCTGACCATGCTGGGAGGCCTCGCTTCTGGTGGTGGCTTGGACATGCGTAAATTTGCCCTGCGAGAGCAGAAATAAAAGAAGTCATCACTGATACTAGGTCCAAAGTGTGGTCATTAATAATACCATGTGGAATCAAGAATAATTTACAAACCAACAAAATAAAGCAGACTGAATCAAGTCATCACTTTGTCTATCTTTATGTCGATCTAATCACTCGTTCATTGACATATTTATGAATCTATTTATCTATATATCAATATTTCATCTATTAATCTATCGTCTATTTATTCCATATTTATACCAAATTTTTCCAGCTATCAATTTATTATTATATTATCAATCAGTTTATGCTTTAATATATTCTTCTAGTATAACACAAACATCTACTTTTCTACTGTACATAATCCATACCTATAAACATAACTACATATCTACCAACCTGCATACTAACTAGGGCTGCATAATATATCCTTTCAACATTGATATCGGAACATTTATATCTGCAATAATCACAACGCAGGGTGTGCAATGTACAGTATATTGATTATAGTTTATTTAAAGTTTTTTGAATTATAGTTTGGCAAAACCAGTGCAAAACATGAGATTTGTCCTTAGAGAGTTGAACTATAATAGAGTGAATGTTTATCATCTGCATGTGTTTTTAAGGCCTGTGATTTTGTGAACTTTTCAAGTATTCAGGCACAAGAAAGTATTATACTTGTAATTTTAATAAATATTTTTAAACTATAAATAATGTAATTCTTAATTTTTTTCCAGTACTGGGTGGCAGCTGGAAGGGCATCGCTGTGTAAAACATATGCCAGAGTAGTTGGCGGTTCATTCCACTGTGGTGACCCCTGATAAATCAGGGACTAAGTGGAAGAAAAATTAATGAATGAATATAATTTAAACAATGATGATTATGTAGTTTTTTATTACATTTGATAACTCAATTTCTGTACTTTGGACTCCCCAGAAAACCACAGTTTATTTTATTTACATTTTTTCTCTATTGTACATATCAACACTTTGAATTTGTTATATTTTATGCATAATTCTCTCACCCACAGAATCATCCCATATATATCTATCAAAAATAATGAATTCTTTCCAAACAGAGCTAATCAAATCATTTGGTGAAAATGTATTTATATTGCAATATATATTACAAAAAAAAAAAAAGAAATATCACAATGTCTGATTTTTCCAGCATCATGCAGCCCTACTACCAACCTATCTATCTACTTCCTATCTTTCCCAATAACTACTCCATCTACCCATAGATAAAGTATATACACATACAGTTGAAGTTAGAATTATTAGCCCCCTTCGAATGTTTTTAATTCTTTCTTAAATATTTACCAAATGATGTTTAACAGAGCAATGAAATTTTCACAGTATGTCTGATAATATTTTTTCTTCTGGAAAAAGTGTTTTTTGTTTTATTTCGGCTAGAATAAAAGCTATTTTTAATTTTTTAAACACCATTTTAGGAACAAAATTATTAGCCCCTTTAAGCTATATTTTTTCTCGATAATCTACAGAACAAACCATCGTTATACAATAACTAGCCTAATTACCCTAACCTGCCTAGTTACCCCAATTAACCTAGTTAAGCCTTTACATGTCACTTTAAGCTGTATAGAAGTGTCTTGAAAAATATCTAGTCAAATAATATTTACTGTCATCTTGGCAAAGATAAAATAAATCAGTTATTAGAAAAGATTTATTAAAACTATTATGTTTAGAAATGTGTTGAAAAAATCTTCTCTCCGTAAAACAAAAATTGGGAAAAAAATAAACAAGCGGTCTAATAATTCAGGGGGGCTAATAATTCTGACTTCAACTGTATATATACACATATATGAGCATACACCATGAGCGTGCATCAATAGCGGCGCCACATTTGTACAGTGCTCCCAGGGCAAATGTCATTCAACCGCACTAGTCAAGACTAAAGCCAATGTGAAGGTGCTGGATTTATCGCTGTGTACGGGTTTAGTAACAAGCAAGCAAAAAAAAAAAACAAAGCATAAAAGCAGAACTGGAGAAAGGCAAAGATTTTGTTTTTTACGTTTTTGTATGTTACGAACTTTTGTGCAACAAGCATTATTGAATATACAGTTTCTTACTGCCAATTTATTTATTCATTCATTCATTAATCCACCCACAAACGAATCGCTCCCTTAGTCAGAATGAGAAGTGAAAGCAGAAGAGGGGGGTGTTTTAGGACACAGATTACATCAAATTTAACAGGGAGGGAGGATATTACACTTCCATGCATGCAAATACTCGCTCTTTGCCCGGACACAGTTTAGATCAAATTTAACAGGGAGAAAGAATAATACACTTCCATGCACACATACTCTCTCTTTGCCTGTGCGGTCATTTATCCATCGATGTAGAAAAGTGATGTAAAATGATCATTTTCGTCATTGAAGAATATATTTGTATACTGACCACCGGGAAAACTCCGGATCATAGATATTTGTATATATGTGTATACATCTTGGGCTCCAGATGACCTGTACTAAAATGTACAAAAATTATGGTTTTGATGCATTCTTTCCAATAGACAACAATAGCGTAGGCCACATCTAATGTAAATATCTATGCCATCTACCAAACTATTGATCCATTAATCTACGTACCTAGCTACCTGCCTATCTAATAAATAACATCAACGCAGGATCATTATGATGCTGCACCCTTTCAAAAGCTTCCCTAAGTATGGCATTATCGCTGGGAGACATCCATACGCTCCTCATACCCTCTGCACTTCTGTGTGTCAGGCTGCTTCCACTTTCAATCCATCAGCATTAAATTCTCCACAGTCATAACAGGATTAATATTAAGTGCACCGGTGGCCGATTAGGATGCTTGTGGAATACCGTATTTAGCTCATCTGGTTGTGAGCACACGATGAGAGAGAGAGAGAGAGAGAGAGGAGGAATGCACTGCAGCTGAAGAATGACGGGTCACGGTCACTACACTCGCCACTCAGTGGTTTCACTGGGATTACAGTAAAGACAGTGTAAACACTCAGGTATGTCATATTGAAAGCACGGCTTGTTAAATAAGCGTTTAATAATAAATGATTAACACCGTGTTTATGAAATGCTAGATCCACAATCGATGTGATGCAAATGCCACAACACCAGGCTGCGCCCTTAAAGTGTTCGGTTTATTTTACTTTCCTACACAGTAAAAAATGCTGGGTTCCACACAATTCCTTCATGTTGTTCAAACACAAACCGATTAACTTATTCATTTTTACAAATTCAAGTGGATTGAACAAAAAACAATGAAGTTATTGCAAAAAAAACTTTATTTTGATGGTCAGTTTGTTGAATTTAAGTTACATTGCATCTACATGCTAACTAATTCTCATAAGATTAGAAGTAGACTGTTAGGTTGGGGTTGGGGTTAGGGTTAGTGTAAGTTGACATGTACTTGTTTGTAAAGTTTCTTATAGTCAGTTTAATGTCTGCTGAAGGAGCAGTATCAACAGATATTAGGCAGACAATCTACTCAATACTCAAATGGACCATCAAAATAAAGTATTAGCACTTAAACAAGGAGCAGAAGTCAATTTTGAGTGTAATAAGGGGAACCATATTAACAAAAGCTGCATTGAAATTCAGATAATGTTAATTTAACATTTGGGGGGGGTGAGCCAGCAGAGAGATGAAGAAGAAGGAGGGGAATAGAGGACAGAAGAAGGGTGAAACAAACTGTCAGAGCTGTCACCGAAGGCAACAAATAGAAACTTCTTCCAAACGCTGTCAAAGAGAAGCGTCAGATTCAGAGGAAGCAGAAAAAAGTATAACCTAGGGTGAAAATCACCAGAGATGTGTGCTGTTCGCACAAACATCTGTCACATTTCTAAATCTCCGTCAATGAACTGGGACCCAAGAAGTTATAATTCATTGTGTTTACAGTTGCTTTTGTCCGTAAACATGCAATAACATGTTGTTATGTCATTTTATTATGTTTATAAGAGTGCGCACATCACATACATTAAAAACAAATTCTTGGGGCAGACCTATGCTGAGTCCGAAATTGCATACTTCCATCCTATATAGTATGCTAAAAACAGTTTATGAGCCCAGTAGTACATAGAAATCAAAAAAGAGTGGCTGTTTCTCAATATGCGCTCTTCAGCGATCTTGCGTCATCGTGTTCTCGTGTAATGTCATCATCAACTGCCAAAGTTCACTTCCAAAACTCAAGATGGCAAAAACAAAGGACGCGTGATGTGTTCTTGATTTCAAGGATGCATGGATGCAGACTTGAGCACTAAACTCACTCTAGAAGTCCCAGAAGTCATTGTGACTGGAGGTGGGAAGCGCAGCATTTAATATAGGTTTAATATTAAAGTTCAGAGACATAACTTTATTTACTTCAGTTTTCTTAAATGAAACGGTGAATATAAACATTACCATGAAAATATTAATAAAGAAATAAACACATTTAAGGGATTTGGATGTTTGCTGAAATTCTATAAAACCCGTTTTATTTGTATTGTGCAACATATATTTTTAAAGTTTTCCTGCATAGTATATATTGTGAAAAGGGGAAAAACAATAAATCGTTGTTTGAATGCTGTAATGTTTAAATAATTTTTCATTAAAAACGCGTGAAGGTCATGTGACCATCAGGAAGAATGCAGCATCTCATTTCTCAGAGGATGCGTTCCCTGTTCTCGTGGTCTCCTGAGTTCATTTTTCCAAGATGACCTTGCAAGACCTTCACAAAGTCGGTTCTCTGCGTTCTTGGAATTGAGAAACAGCCAGTGTGCGAGGATGACCTACTACTTCCAGCAAGATTCTGAAGTGAGCAGCCGATGGACATTATGCTATCGCATGTTGCTTCGCGAGAGAATTCAAGAAAGGGAGTGAAGTGACGCAACTGATGCTGGCAGGCCACATGATCATGACCAAAAAAACGATGTAGTACGTCCAAGTTTCATTTATACTATTCGCATTCATACTGTATAGAACATACTTTTTCTAACGGTCGAGTAGTGAATTCAAATGTAGTACCTACTGAGTAGT